GAAACAGCATTGTCTGGTGTAGGAGGATTATGGGCTCATTATCTTTTGTACCAATTGGAATAGATATATTCCATGATAATTATTTAGCAATTTTTACAAATGAAACTTTTATTCTAGACGGGTTTCGCTAACACCAAGCTAAGGTGTTAGCAGAACGCTTACACCGTGTTGGTTTGGCCCGGTTACAGAAAGACAGTGAATCACACCAGGCGTTGAGTACCATAGAGTAACTATTTTTTTTAGTAGGTTTTCGCCTTTGGAAAGTGCCTGGGTGGCTCATCGGTGTCCAATACCAATGTCTTGAACGTCTCCTGTTGTGGAGGATCCACTTTTCATTACACGTTACGATTAAAAAAGGATCTTAACGGTTGCGCAAAAGCAAACAATTCAATAGCGTAAATTTCCGCTTGAAATACAGTCGCATAAGTTCCTAGGCAAGTAGATATCTCTGTCCTGGGTCTGCGACTGAAAACACCTGCACCAGTACCGAAAAGTGTTTTTGATCCATCTGTGAACCAACAACTATCTGCTCTTAATATTTCCTTCTCCCGGAGGATCTAGTTCTCTATACTCGGGAATAGTACTTTATAAGGCAATTCGTAGTTGACAGTTGGAGGCATAAGGTCAGAGGTCATTTCCAGAATGCTGTGACTTCCAGAGTGTCAGCCAACAGTCTGTTGCACTCTGCATTAAATTGATTTGTTCAATTGGCAATGTGCACAAGCCTGTATGCAATCCATCTAGCCTCTCTCTCCAGAAAAATATGGAGAGGAGGTAGATCTAGAAGGATCTCCGTGGACGCTAACGGTGTGGTACTGATGGCATCACTGATAGCCAGGCAAGAATGTCTCTGTAAGCCAGAGAGCTTCGCTTGGGCCTTTTTCCGTAAAGCTTTCGGCCACCAGGCAATTGCACCATAAGTGATCATTGGTCGGACAATCATTACATGAATCCAGTGGATTTGTTTGGGACCTAAACCCCAAGTTTTACCACGAATCCTTCGACATGTCCATAGATACAGTCTGACTTTGTGTAAAATTTGTTCCAATTGAGCGTTTCATTTGAGTCTTTTATCAAGGATAATGCCACCTCCGTTCCAAATGGAATGACCTCACCATTGAGGGAAAGTGGCGTTAGATCGTCCAATTTTCTCCTCTTGGTGAAGGGGATTAACACAGTTTTGCTAGGGTTGACAGACATCTGCTCCCTCAGGCACCAACTGTGAACAACGTCTAACGCGCTTTGGAGGATATTACAAGCTACCCTTTTCATACGTGGACCTTGCCAGGATGACAAGGTCATCTGCATAAGCTTGCAGATTAACTTTTCTTCTGTCGAGGGCATCAAGCAGACTATCTATCAGGAGCGACCACAGAAGAGGAGATAGTACCCCATCTTGAGGGAAGCCCCTGGTGACCCTGAACCTAATGGCCTCGCCTTGAAGGGTCGTAGTTGCAGTTCTGTTTACTAGCATGATAGATAGATAGATAGATATTTATTGGCTACGTTATATACATGAAATATTTGTAGCAAGTCAAATAGGAACATATTCACACTCGTGTTCTTGAAAAATTCATATAAATATACCCACACACACATATATACACATATACATACACATATACACATATATATATACATGTATATAGAAACATACACTGTCGTAAAACAACTAAAACTAATACTTAAAAAATATACAAGTCATTTCAAAAGTTCTAAGGTAGATGCCGTGAATTTCCTTTTTTCAAAAGCATCCACAACATCATTGATTCCATACCGTTCCTAGCCAGAGACAATCCTGTAGATTTAGGTAGTGCATTGTCAAATGCTCCTTCACCGTAGAAAAAGTATTTATTGATATATACAGCTACTGACACACATGACATTGAAATGGACAAAACTTTCTATATAACCTGAATTTCTTCGAGCCCAACTATGAGCAAATAGTTTTCTAGTCGAAGGCATGTTGATTTTACGGTACCTTCTTACGGAACTACGAATATTCATTATGATTCAAAGGTATTTCGGGAGGTGATCAACATGAATAAGAGGCTGAAGAATAAGAGGTTGATGACCATCAGAATCATATAGAGTAAAGTTGAGTTTTCATGAATATGAACACAAACGCAGATATTAGATTGTATTGTATTTATTATCCCAAAAAACATTAAATGTTTATGAATAGAAATCAACTAAATTAATCAAGATGAAATTCAACAAATTGATGAAATATTGAGCAAGAAAACACAAGTAATTAGTATGAGCAGTTAACATTGAATATGTTAATAGGTATGTGAAGATGCCTTTTGAAGGGATAATTTTGATTAGATTCTTTATATCATTTGACATAATATTTTGTTTATAAGTATTTGATCCAGATGTCATACACAATAAACTTAATTAGGTTAAATCAATGTTGGAACTAAAATTTCGTAATTAATTTTCCTCACGAGTTTTTTGTCCGATATCACCATTCGCAATCTATCTAATTGCAATCCAAAAATGTGATATTGTCATCATGGTTCTTCGTCCAAGTTTATGATATCTCCAGAATCTCCACACAATTCAAACAGCGCACAGGTCGATTCGTTGAAATATAACGCAACCTCTGTCCACTTTTCTGCTTCGGATTCGCCTTAAAAATATACTGGAAAATACCTGCTATATCTAAAGTAAATCCAACGCGAAAGAAATACGAAACTTAATTACAAAAATATAATTACAGCGGAAAGTTGCACAGAAGTTTCGCTCGCTTCATAATTGATCGCCTTATTAAAGATGAGTTAGCTGCTGCCTTTGTCTAAGCGGAACGGGGGTTGCCAAGACGACGAGTTCAACTGTTTGCTTATTGCAGAACTCATATCCTAATTGGGTTAGCTTACATCTGCGTCATCAGCGTATAACGTTTCAGGTATAGGCGTACTGGTTTGGAGGAATAACGACGGGGTTGAAAATGTTATCGAAGGAGATCGAATATTCCACTAGCACATGATGAACTTGTGTGACTGAACCGACTTTTAAAAGATATTTTAAACAAAATTAATTTCGATGATGGGAACGGTGGATGCATTTTTATGACATGGAGCAAGAAACACATGCGTCATCAATACCTGACGTGATAAAACGCATACTTCTATGTAGCATCCTTTTTTTTTCTACAAGTGAGAGACGAAGACGAAACAGTTCAATTTTGCGTTTAACTAGTGGTATCTGCATTGGGATTCTCGCATTCTCAGATTTAGAGGCTAATTCATGACGAAACACTATCGTTTGAAAGTTTAATGTTGCTTATTGCAAAGTTTTCATTGTTCAAAATCTATTATATTATAGAAATAGTTGTTTTCACAACTAATAAAGTACGCGTAGTTCGTATTTCATAGAAAGTAAATTTTATATAATAATTATTGAGACTGTGTAATATAAATAGTATATTGTTTTATTAGAAGAGGATGATGTTACATTTGGCGAGCATGGAGATTTCCCTTAGGAGAGTCTATCTACTATGCGAGCTACATAAAACTATTTTTCTGTCAAAATAATCATACTATTTTTTTTCAAACGTGAATTTCGGAAAATGTAGAACCGTGGCTATGATGCCGATGATTTGAATTTAATAAGTGATGAATGAACTAAAGCAACTTTTTTGCAAAAATCAATGTGAATAAAGAATGAAGAAAATAACGTTTGTCTAATTTCTACTCAGAAATATTATTTCACTATATTCAAGAACTTTTCTTTTGAAAATGTTTATTAGGATTTTGTAAGGCTTCACAAAAATTTTCAGTATAAAGCAAAATGTAAGAAAAGAATTAGAAACTCTCGAAAAATATCTTCAATGCGCCATCTGTTATGGATTTATAAAAACTTAATACTCTACAAGAAACCTGCCATCACTTGTTTATTATGTCGTATGCTAATCAAAAATACGACTTCCATGGTTCTTGATAAATATCCCAGTCCTCAGGAATAATGGTAAACGTTTCATAATGTACCAAGACAGAACTCATATACTAGCATGTGTGGTCTGTTTATTTCAAGTGAAGTGAATTGTCTAATATAATTATGAAAAATGGTATTTTGATACACCAACGCCACCTTAAGTAACGAATCTTCTTCATGTGATTTGCACGGTTTTTAATCAGATGATGGTGAGCTTGAATTTTTCAATCACTTGTTATCTAAACTCAGATGAAATTATTAGTCATTGAGTAGATAAAAGGTCATTTGATTCCGATTATTATATAAATCACTGATTATTGAGAATTCAGTCAGTATGAACACGCCTGAGGAAACTATTGTATAGGGAAATATATGTTGTGGTTTTGTAAACTGTTCAGCGAAAATTTCATAGTGAATTGTAACTTGAATATGTTATGGATTTTCATCAAGTATCGGCCAATTTCGTCACATTCTGGTATTCATTGAGAATACTTTGCGTCAAAGCCTTTACCTCCACAATAGCACATGACTGACCCCGAAAATTACTGTCTCTTCGACTATCGATACAGAATTATAAAAACGAACCTTCAACGACAACAGTACATTTTCCTTGAGTTTTGCACTGACATCTTAAGGCGACGGTCTCAAATATCTGCATTTTCAAGCAGTAATGTATTATTGGAGAAATGTGTATGCAATTGAAACGGAAATGGAATGGATGGTTTATTGCCAATTCAGTAAAGATTTAATTGTTTTGAAGTAACATTTTTAATGAAACTGAACCTAACCAATTCTACGCTAGTTGAAACCTAAACATTCAAACTAACAAAAAAATAAATTTTCCGAAATAGAACATTCTCAAAAAGTGATAATTTTTCATTAAAAAATTCTTATGTGCACTAGGATAAATGATTTTATATTTTCTTGGGTTCTCTTATTGACAAGTGACAATATCATAGTATAGCAAAAACTACCCTCTACGATTCGCTCATGCGCGCTGTGATTTATTACAAAAAAAAAGGAATAGTAGACTACTGGGTGTTTTGTCATTCTATTGTGACAAGTGACAATTGACAATATCTGCATTTGGCGGCAAAGTGGTATGCTTATAGTTTTTGTTTAACGAAAAAACATTTCTTTTAAAGATTTTTATAACTATTTTCAAATAGGAGCGTTTTTCCTTTTCTTTAATCTGATTCAAATCATTGCCATAAAATGGTGAATAGACCCGTAGGAAAGATGTACGTATTGAAGAGAGGTAAGAAGTTTTCAATTTTCACATGTACAATCCTAAAATCTACACACTGCTTCAGGAGGAAGAAAAGAGGAAGTCCATGTGGATAAAATTACATCCCGAATCCAAAAATTATGTTACGAATTGAATATGGACTTTGTGGACCCCGTTAGTATAAGTATCCTTGGTATCAATAACCTGCTCAAACTGTAACACATTTATAGGTTTCCATAACTCTGAAAGTGGTAAATGGGCTATATCCAGGCGTGACAACAACGGAGCTGGATACTTTGGCAGCTGAAACTGCGATCATGAAGAGCGGAGTTCATCCTGACTATGCAATCCTTGCAGCACGGATTGCGATCTCCAACCTCCACAAGGAAACTAAAAAACAGTTCAGCGGTAAGTTTCTTTCGTTTGATTAAATAAATCAACAACTTTTTTTTTTCAAATGCAAACCTATGTCATGTATGGGCTCAGTGAAAAGCTCGTAAAATATGGAATCTGACCATACCCTTTTTTTTTGCTCATGCGGTTACCACGATATGAGAAAAAACTCTTTTTAAACCAAAAAAGTTAGAAATACCTACTTAGTGCTATCTACGGGTGAATTAGCGTTGCAAAAAACAAATAAGTGGTGATGATGTACATTGCTCAACAATTGCTAAGGATCACCAGTACCTACTTTCTAAAAGTTTACAAATTTTAAGAACAGACCAACCGGGCCAGGCACCACAACAAATTTTATTGATTTATGTGTAAAAATGATAACGTAATGTAGCATCAACATTCTGTAGATTTTATTTTTTCACCAAAAACTTACACATAAAATTAGTTCCATCCCAAGCAATTGTTGACCAGTGTACCTCAAAAAGAGAAAAAGGTTTAAATTTGCTTGGAGTCGAAAAAACATTATTTTTTTTTGTTTTTGAAACTTCATAAGTCATTGAAGTGACAATTTTAAACTGAGTTCACTTTCCGTCACAATTCCTTGTTGACAGAAACCAACTTCAACCCTTCTTCCATTTTTATGGAAACAGATCTGTAGTTAACACTAGAATCATCTTCTTGAAAAATGGTAAAACTGGCCGTTTTGAAAATCTTCAGAAAGACAGTCTCTTCAAACAATTCATTATCATGCAATGAATAACAAGTTTAAGCATGTTAGAGCTAGTATGGTCAATTCCAATGGAGATTGAATTTTTCTGGTGCATTCTATCATTGAAAGCAACAAAGCTGGAAAAACAGGAACTAATAATGAAGTCCATTTAGAAATTTCCTTTTAATTCTAGACGAAAACTCGCGGCTTAGGGTGAAATTTAAAGTCACTGACATGAAGCAATGATGTGACAAATTACAGTGTAACACATAGTTTCTATGTGCTGTAATATGAAAGTACATGAAGAAAATTGATAGATGAATAATAGTAAGCAGCGAAGTTCGTTTCAAAATTGATACATTTTAACAAAAAAAAAACTGTCGTATGAGCACCGCTCAGGAATTGTTGAATGACGTCATCGGAGATCCAGATTTTCCTAAAAGGCTCATAACTGGTAACGAAACATAGGTATATGGTTATGTGGGAGGTGAAAATCAAGTAAGAATAATGGAAAACCCATTTCAATAAGTCATTTGTTCACCAATTAGATTTTCCAAAAAAATCTACCTACTACTCATACTGAAGAAAAAATAAAGCATCTGTATAAGCTCCCTCCCAGAAAATCTAGGTAATTCAACAAAATGAACTCATTTTTTAGGGCAGTAACATATAGAAATGAAGGATCCAAATTATGTTTGAAAAATCATAACTACAGCACTGATCTCTAGTTCAAACCAGGTTTATACTCCAATGGGTGAAAAAAGAATCCAGAACTTGAAGAAATGTGTGAAAAAAATTCAGGAATAAATATTAAAAGGACATATTTTTCCTAAAAAGAATGTTAGTAAGTAGAACTTGCTATTTTTTTCTGTCAATAAGTCCAGACTTGTCTATGCCCTATTTTCAAAGCTATATTTGTTACTGTTATTTATTTATCAACTGATGTAAAACTGTTAAATTCTCATTTAATAATAATTTACAAAGTTAACTTAAATCAACTCAATTAATAGTACTAAATCTACTGATTTATTCTAATATTCAACACAACACTCCAAGAAAGTAATCTAACTAATGCGTGGGGTTCTGTAAATTTTATTGTTCCACATTTATTGTACATATTTATTTAGTTATTGTATTGCCCATATATCTCAGACACTGCACACTGCAGAATCCTTACACAAAAACAAAAATCTCAAAGCACTTACCTGAAAAAAAAACAATTTCAAGTAATCCAAATTAACCCAGTAACACTGTACATTGTACCGACTAAACCATCCTACACCGAACCTCACTCTCTAAACTCTACCAAACAACTAAACTGAATTCAGCTCCCTTTCAAAAGATAAAGTTACCAGTTGCAACTAGAGAGGAGAAGCAACAGCAAAGCTCTGCGAAGGACTGGAGCGTTCCGAAAGAATCCTTCGAATAAAACTTGCGTGGAGGGGATCGAAGCTTCGCAACCAGCCACTCTCATCGAAAAGATTTTACGAAGGGACACAGCCCTCACTTTTTAGTGCTTAAATATGCAGCAACCCTTTTTTATTTGAAGGGAGCAACCCTTCAGATTCTTGACGAATAAGCTGCTTCGATATCACTAGGCTCATTTTAGTGAGAAGTTTTTTCACTGTATTTCTGAAAAGTCTGAGTGGCAGATGTTTGATTTTTTCAGGAAGTAAATTGAAGCAAGTGATTTGCTTTTATCCAATCTTCTTAAGAGGGGCACAATATTATTTCCAGCGTATAATATTGTCAGTAATTCTAGTTTGAGATGCATATATGAAGGTAAGTCATGAGCATAAATTAGGAACAGGAAAGGCCCCAGTATGGATCCTTGTGGGACTCCCCTTTTGATAATACGTCCTTGACTTATCATATTGTTATTGTAAACTCTTTGTGTTCTGTTAGCTAAATATGATTCAATTATTTTATTGGGAATTCCTCTTACGCCATACCATTCTAATTTCTCCAACAGTTTATCATGACTGACACAATCGAAAGCCTTCGACAGATCTGAGAAGTTAGTTAAACAGGAATGTTTATTTTCAAAAGCTTCAATAATGTTATTAGCTAATTTGTTTATAGCGTCTATGGCACTTTTACCTTTCCTAAACCCAAACTGATAATTATGTAAGAAATTATTGCTTTCCATGTAGTTACTAAACTGTATTAAAATAGCTTTTTCCATTACTTTGGATAGGGTGGGCAATATGTGAATTTGTCTGTAATTCTCAGGTAATTTTTCATCTCCCTTCTTGAATATAGCTAGAACTTTGGCTGGTTTGAACANAAGATAAAATTCCAATCTTATAAGACTTGACTGAAATGTAAAGCCATGAGCTTTACACATAGCTAACGTATTATATATACTTAAAGTTGAGTAAAAGTTCGGGAGGTGACCACAAAAGTGTCTCTTTCTTCTTGGATAACTTCGAAAAATTGATCAATTTGAACAGATGTGGTGTAGTTTTTCATAAGTAACGTTTGAGCCTGGGACGCCATTATAGTTGCTGTTCGTTGTTTCCGATAAGCTTATATTATTTAGATTCGATTCTGTTTGTTTTGGTGCTTTAGTTCTAAAAAAGATCTTGGTTGTTCTTCATATTGGAGACGATCTCTTCTGAAGTCGTCTCTTCTGTAACCGACTCCCCATGGCCAAAAGGAAGGTTTGTAGAAATCCTCTTCGAACTAGAAATCAGTAGCAACCATGAAAGATTTCAAGTTGTTATCAGTTCTGATGTACTCTACTATGAAACTTTCTTTGAGACATGCTGTTTTTTCAGCTAGAAAAATTCTGATGTCATCTTCTTCAACATCTTCAGTTACCCGATAGATGTACAAGCAAACTTTTGGTTGTACCACTTTGAAATTTGAGCCACCATCATCCGACTGACCGATGAGACGTCTATTTGTTTGTTTATTTCGTACTTGTTGCCATTCTGAGGTGTCTTTACAGTTTCCACCATGGGAAGATTCTGATAGACTTGCTTCTGGGCCAGTTTGCAATTTGATAACTTCATCAAATTTCAGTTGACTCTGAACTTTCAAGATTTCATTTGCCTCTTCCTTCAGTTTGAGAGGTGGGTCACTCTGTATAACAAGTTCATTTGTAGTTTTTAGATCAGCGACGTTTTTATCTGTTGGCTTACAAACCGAATACTATTGACCTCATACAAAGTATGAGGTCAATAGTATTAGTATTATTGTTTCTAAAATTTTGTCCATCTCAATGTCATGTTTTTGTAGCTCCATATCTCAATGAATATTGATTCTACTTTCGCCAATCAGGACCAGGCAAAAACGGCCTTCGTCGACTTCATCGAATCTCGAGCACAAGATTTTTATTCTGGCGGAATTAATCCACTTGTTACTGTGGCAAAAGTGCACCTATTTCGACTAAAATGAATAAGTATTCTCAGAGATATTAGAGTTTAAAGTAGAATCATAAAAATGGACAAAATTTTTTAAACAACCTGATAGTTTCATTTAGGCATATCACGTTTTACATTTACATTAGGCATATGTTTTAAAAAGCTGTTCTCATTTGGGTTAGGAAAATCAATACATCAATATGGAGTATTACTTTGGGATCCCTCAACAAATCAGTTTTTTTTCTCTTCTCCACTTCAATGTTTTTTCAGGTACGAAGCTGAAGGTAATTTCAACAGGCAAGTTCCCGCCCAGGACTTGTGGAAGGCCATCGTTGTGTCTCAAGTCGAAACTGGAGGTCCCTGCATGCTCTACAAAGACGCCTGCAATGAGAAAAATAACCAAAAACATTTGGGAACCATCAAGTGCGCCGGATTCTGCACAGATGTCATCGCTTACACTTCGCCGGAACAAATCGTGGCCTGCCCCCAAGCGGCAGTGTTACTAAGCATGTTTGTCTCTTCTGACAGAAAGACGTTCGATTTCATGAAGTTGAGGGAGGTTACCAAGACGGTCACGAAGAATCTGGATAAGGTTTTAGATGCAAGTTACTACGCCTTGCCAGAAGAAAAAATGTGCAGCACCGAGCTTCGGGCTATCGGAGTGGGAGTTCAAGGCTTGGCCGATACATTTATATTGCTGAGAATGCCGTTTGACAGCGAAGAGGCTTCTCAGTTGAACAAGCAGATCTTCGAGACTGTTTACTACAGCGCAATGGAGGCCAGCTGCGAATTGGCAGAAAAGAACGGGACATATTCCAAGTACGAGGGCAGCCCAGCCTCCGAGGGTGTTTTACATTACCATATGTGGGATTCCAAGCCTTCGGACCTTTGGAATTGGTCCGAACTGGATGAGAAAATTAAAAAGTTCGGTCTCCGTAACTCCCTTCTCATATCCGTGATGCCTACCCCTTTGCTGTCGCAGATCCTGGGGACCAGCGACTCCGTAGAGCCCTACAACTCGAACGTGTTCACTCGCACGGTTTCCTCTGAAAGATTCCAGGTAGTAAACGAGCTTTTGCTGAGAGACCTGACGGATCGAGGCATCTGGGACGAGGTCATCAAGAAGAAAATCATAGACGCATACGGGTCAGTCCAGAACCTCCCCGAAATCCCTGACGACCTCAAAGCCATTTACAAAACGAGCTGGGAAATGTCGCAGAAAGTAATCCTCAACCAGGCCGCAGATCGGGCCCCCTTCGTGGACCAGGGTCAGTGCTTGAACGTCCACATACAGAAGCCGACTTATGGATCTGTGACTTCGATGCACTTTTACGGGTGGAAGAAGGGGTTGAAAAGCGGGATGTGCTCGATACGCACCAGGGCTGTGCCCAAAGTTGTTCAAGAAACGGTGCAGAGGAGTAAAGTAGAAGAGGTGGAGCCTGTGTCAGAAGAGCTGGAGGAGATGAAGAAGAAGCAGGAGGAAGAGGAGGAGAGGAATTTGGCGGGGCTGGTTTGCTCGCTGAAGAACCCGGAGAACTGTGAAATGTGCGGGGCGTGAGTGGTAGTTGGGACTAGGTGGTTACTCGAACGCATTTTTGTATATAGCTTTATTTTATTAGAAATAGGATTTAGACTGAAAGGGGTATATAGGAATTCCTGATATACATTACAATACATATAAAACATGTCAATGAGTCAATTATTATAGTTACTACCAATAAAACAAAAAATATATCAAAACAATTTTTTGTTGTTGCTGAAAAAATATTCTCAAAAATAAGTGTTTGAAACGAAGCATATAAATGTTCGTGTATGAATTTAAAAGAATTTTGAAAGCTAAAAAGAAAAGAAAATTAAAAGAACGAAAAAAATCCAATTATTCAGTGACCTCATGTTTTTTCTATCGGATTTCTAAAACTACCAATACTGACTTGAGAAAGTTCTAGCTACATTAATTTCATTATTATTACTTGTATCATAACGATGAATTTGATTATTATACCATACTCAGTATAATTTGAATGGGAGTATACACATCAAGATTATTCACATTCGTTTGTATCTCACTAAGAGCAGGTAGCCAGATTTTATTAATGTTCATTGCCTCTTCTTTTCTGTTGAAATTATTCCTGTTTTTGGATTTCTATTGTCTCTCTAAGTACTCTTGAACTCGGAAAATAGCTTTCATACAATAAATTGATGGATTTATCCATTACTATGTGGTAGGAAATCATCATGAAAAAAGGAAACTAAACTTTCACCACTTGTATTCCCATTTTGCTCCGTCAATCCGCAGCTGGCCTCCATAGAGCTGTAGTGAACAGTCTCGAATACCTGCTTATTCAACTAAGGTACCTCCTTGCTGTCAAACGGCATTCGCAGCAAGATAAACGTATCAGCCAAGCCTTGAACTCCTACACCGATAGCCTGAAGCTCAGCGCTGAAAGTTTTTTCCTCCGCCAAGGCATGGTAACTCGCATCTAGGACCTTATTCAGATTCTTCGTTACCGTTTTGGTAACCTCCCTCTACTTCATCAAATGAAAAGTTTTTCTGTTAGAGGAGACGAACATGTTTAGCGACATTGCTGCTTGGGGGCTGGCCACGATTTGCTCGGGCGAGGTGTAAGCAATGACATCTGTGTTGAATCCAGCACACTTGTTCCCAAATGGTTTCGGTCGCTTTTCTCGTTGTAGGCGTCTTTGTAGAGCATGCACGGCCCTGCAGTTTCAATTTGAGACACAATGATGGCCGACGTGGAGTGAAAATACAATAAAATGTTTCGTTGTATTTTCATTTCATGAAAATACAATGTAAAATTTTGTTGTATTTTCATTTCAAGTTTTATTGCTTATATATTATTGATATTTCAGTCCATATTTTTCAATTATAAAATTTAAACCAACCTTACTTTAGACTTACAGTAGCTCCCCAAACCATGGCGGAATAAAATATTATGAGATAACACACCATTGAAAAATCTTTCAGAAATAAACTACAAATATTCCTAATCGGAAATGCGTTTTGTAGTACTGTAGAATTCTTGACTCATTGTATGTATATGGTAAATTCCTATGTATTTCATTCAGTATTTGTCTTTTAATTTTAGAAACTGGACTATATAGTCTGATATGTCCATACATTTTTATGAATGAATGTGTAAAATTGTTTCACGTTAATAAACTGTATTAACTTGTTCAATTGATGACCTATTTATTTTGTAGAAATTCATATTGAATATAGGAAAAAATTATGCAGAAATAGAAAACCAAAACCTCTTCCTCAAAAAATTATAAATTATTCCTCCAACCGATTTCTTGGACCACTAGATACTCGTTAGGACAACAAGAGGATTGTTCCGAATTCTTGGGGTTCTTGTTGAATACTTTTCGTGAGCAAAACAATAGCAAAATCAATACTCCTGACTGCTCTGGATTGAATGATTCTGTACAGTACATCTTGTCTTGTGTTTGTAAATCTTTTGCTGGAAAAATCCTCACTTCTTTACTTTGTAGTAAATGTTCAAGAGGCAGCAAAAACTTAGGTGAATTTCTGGAACTTCAACTAGCTTTCCCTAATATGAATAATAACCAGTCCGTGCAAAGCTTATTGTTGAATCATCTGAAAATGGAACTTTTAAACAGGTGATGATCGACTGTATTGCTAAACATGCGCCAAACTAACTGACTGTTATAAGGAAACAAGTATAGCTGAGGCACCAGTCAATCTAATAATAACACTGATGATCTTCAAACAAGACTCAACCTCTAACGGAAACAAGAAACTCTTTGGAAGGTTTGGAATAGATGAACATTTCAATCTAGCAGACCACTATTATGATATTAATGCATTGTTCACTGTGGTTCAGGCGTTGAATTAGGTCATTATTACGCCTTGGTCAAAGACGAAACAAACTGGTTTTAGTTTGACGATAGTCATGTCACGAAGTGTTCTGGCAATGTTTGAATCTACTGGAACCTCTGGAGACACCCTACATTTTGTTTTATGAGAGAGAGGACATTCGTAGATCAAGATCTTCAGATGATGTGGCGTTGCAGGTTTTTCCGGGTTTTCCTGCAACTGTAAAAGCAAATGCGCCTCTGGAATCAATGAACTCGCCCCGGAGCGCCAATTAATTTTTATTTTTATCGTTGTTTTATGATTTCACTAATAAATACTCTCCTAAAAATATACCCCTTTCAATTTATAAAATATGTATCTTGATTCAGGTCATGCATGTAATCTCTTGATGTATCTTCATTATAGTGAAATTTTGGTAATTATGTGCCCATTTCTTGTACTTGGTCTTTATAGCAATCAGGGATTGAATAAACAAATAGATAGAAATATGATTCACATTCAACATATAACATTCAATTCAACACATATAATTCATATAATAGACAACCAAGATTTTCCACAGTAGGGAGTCGGTATTCCATCAAAGTAAATTGAATATGTTCCACTTTTTCTTAACGTTACCCTTCAGTTGGTAATTCGAACGGGAATTAGGGATTTTCACCACCTTTGATTCCTTAATTTTGAATTATTTAGATCATCTTTATAGTTACACAGCAGGAAATTATTCACTATAATATAAACAACAATGTAAAAATACAATCTCAATCAGCTTCCTTAAAGTGTTGAGGAACTTTGAACATGGGGCCGTGCCCAGGAACTATGAAATCGGCCAGTTTCAGTATTTTTCTTCTGTTGATCTCCTGCAGTTCTTCCGAATCGCTACCGGCACTTTTCCATATTCCCGCATCCTCCAAATCCTCGAATTTTTCAAACAAATCTCCTGTAACTGCTACGACACCATTATCGGTATCTACAACGACTGATACGTCCTGCAAAGTGTGTCCTGGAGTAGGGATTACTTTGACTTTCCTGTTGATGACGAACTCCTCTCCACTGTGGAAGTCGGGTTCAGTAAAATAACAGTCTTTATGAGAAATGCTGAAACCGACAATGTGTACAGCTTTTTTGAATAGATGGTTGCACCCGACGTGGTCTGAGTGCCCATGAGTGCAAACTACATAATCGATATCATCACAGCTGATATTTTCTTCTTTCAAGGCAGATAAAAGTTTCTCATCGTCCCAGGATGTCAAAGTATCTATTACGATATTTGGGGTGCTTTTTATAAGTACACAGGAGCAATTTGCCAAATATTTTCCATCAACGAATTTTGAATAGCCTTCGAACAGCACCTTCAGTTGAGTTTCAATATTCGGCTTCATATCTCAAAAATTTAACTGAAATTGATTTTGAAAGAATAGAATATTATATGCATACAATGGTATTTTTTTTAAATATTCAAATTGTCAAATGCTTCGATAGAGAGATAACCTAATTCAGGGTTGCCACTCGATATTTTTTATTCGTACTAAAATGTAAATAATTTCGTAATATTCGTAAGTGTGCATGTTCCTTCCATATATGTTTGAATTTTCAGAAGCTTGCAAAGACTTGCAGAATCAAAATTTGATTTCTATACCTAAATGTTCTTTGACATAGGCTTGATAAGCAAGTTTGACACATAAGCTGTCAAACTGTGAAAATAGTGAACAATAGCAAAATTATCTAATTTTGAAAGCGTAATAGATTGTGCTTAATAACGTAATAAAAGTATCCAATAGTAATAGATTTATTACGGGAGTAATGATTTAGCCACAGAACTGTAGAGTTATTGAAGTACAAGTTATAGTTCTGTGCACAGAACTGAAACTCGTGATCGTGAGTACACCATAAAACACAAAGCATATAATTTCAAATGTTGCTCATTTAAAAATTTTGTCTAGAGACAAACATTTATCTTGAGGTACGCAAATTTTTGACTATTTTTTCACTTAAATAACAATACTTCACACAGAAGAACGAAAAAACCCGACTATTCATTGTGCACTCAGAAGAATATAGACAACAGTTTAATAGTGGTACGTTTGTAGAATTCAGCCTATCTCTTTTTTTGAACTCAACCTAGATGTACTTGTGATACCCTGTTTGCCAACACCTAACCGTTATTTTCAACTCCTCAACACGTGTTTCGATCACTAAGCGATCATCTCCAAGAGGAAGATTAAACTGAAGATGATCATTTGGTGACTGAAACACGTATCGAGGTGTTGAATATAACGGTTCGGTGTTGGGATAAAACTCCAGTAATATTCAATCATTGTATATAAGTTGTCTGTATACAAAGATTCAACCTAGATGAGTTCAGAAAAAGATAAATTTACAAAACCAATTGGTTCCGCTTAGGAAAAATCACCACATGAAATGTGTGTCATTATTCACTATTTCCCTCAGGCGTGTACAATATTGATTTAATATGGTATTCTAAAATACGCGTAACAATTTTATGAAGTTTACTGTGAAAATCTCGCGGTAGTGAATATCCGTATCGAGTATCGGCCAATACAGTACACAGAATGGACCATAACTGATCATAAGTACCGATCCGTAATTATGCACTCTATTACTTGTTTACATTTTTTTTAATACTTCAACACATACTCTTATATAGGCAGTGTGCTCATCTACCTCGGACATGTCTTATTTAGCCCATTCAATATAACCTTCGTTCTTGTAGTCACTGATAATGTCTGCTTCAGTAGCATTACGAAACGTTTGGTACTTTAGCTTCCGTTCAACCGCGGATTATCATCTTTTTTTTTTGTTGTAATTTTAAAAAACATACAAAATAACTGTATACATTGTATAGAACTGTAGGCAAAGGAATAAAAACTTTCATGACTGATTTGCGATGGCATTAAACACTGATGTACATAGAATAGCTTGAAAAAAAAGTCATTTGTTGTGCTTATTAAATGTATTTTTTTGTTTTGTAAAAATTATTTGAGTTCTTATATTCTAGTATTCGTATATACAAAATTCCTATAAATTTACATTCACATATACATTTACTTCCACTGAATAAGGCATTTTTATAGGTCAGTCTGCCTTTGATATTGTATACCTTCAAAAATATAAAAAACTTTCATTAATTAGATACATACAATCAACTTCAAACAATTAGATAAAAAAAATAAAAGTTAATTCTCAACTATTTCTAAATATTTTCGTAAATTGAACACATTTTTACAAAATGTTCATGGAACACTTATATTTTTCCTAGTATCACAAGTTTTGTTCATAAGGTAGGTGAATCAATAAGATAATTTACATGTTTAAAACTGCTTTTACATAAGTTTCAATTTCCAATATCCATATCATATAAAATATAAGTGGAATAAGTTTCAACAAAAATGAATCAGTTTAAATTATCAGTCTCGAGAATATTTGCAGAAAGCGGACGATCATCGGATGGGTCTGGACTGTAAGCTGGAGTGCTTACAGTTCGGGAATACGCCGGCGAATTCAAAAAATTGCACTCTTCCACTTCATAAAGATCACGTTTACGGAAAATAAACCTTAGTTGTTTTATTTTATACATCCATTATGGGGATAAATTAAACTCTTAGTTTGTGTAGGGAAATGCGTGACCTAAGTGTCACGTTTGTCAAGTTGGCACTATAATTTTCAATGTTGTTCACATTGTGGAATAAATTGACATAAGGTGAAAGACTTTTTTACATTATGGTCCATAGACTAAAGATCTCAACAAAATACAAATTTAGGTGCATGCACCATCTATCGACAAATGCACTAAGTTGAGTCAATCTCATTTCCCGCGTATAGAATTTTTGACAAAACGAAGCAAATCGGTTATAACACGAGGGTTTCTATATACCTTTGTTTTGTGTCTTCATTTTTATAATACAGGTAGAAAACCTAAAACATTCATTCAATTATATGCATTAGCAAATCTTTCATTATTCAGTCCAGTTTACGAATACAAACTCAACAACATAATAACTTTTGTTTGAAGGTGGTTGACAATGTTTCGTGGTGAATTTCATTAGTTTGGACTTCCATTGTTTAATATGATTCTACTATGATTCTAAATCTACACAGGGAGGAACACTGGTTTAAGAGGAAGTTCAAAGGAGCTGCATAAATATTGTCCAACGACGCATTCAGCCAAGCTAGCGTAGATATACGCAACATAGGAAACCCGTAATCAAGCGGAAAACGGTCAACCCCCACCTAACTGTGAAGCGGAGAGAGGAAAGAGGGGATAGGAGAAGCGTTTCAGGGGAACCTTCTTGAATTTGTACTTTGTCTATAAAGTAATGTATGATCTTAGTTTTCATTCAGTGTATGCAATTTTTTATGATCTATATTGTGGTTGAACACCTTTCCTTTGGCTAAAATATATACTAGTGGTAAAACAAAATATGGAATAATGTTCTTGCTTTAAATTATCACAAAAGAATTTCATTTGTTCAATTTATGCAGGTTTCATATGAACGTATCCCAACAGTTGGAACCTGGCTCTTGTATTTTGAAGGGGAAAATATCAACCTTACATTCTATAATGTGATTTAGAAATTCAGAATTCATACCCATTGACCCTTCATACATTTGTTATAACGATTGAGAAGGATTTATGAAAAGAAAATGGGTGTAAATAGATTGATGTATAACTCAGGAGCTAAGTTCCAACTGTCGGGAGACACTTCAGAATTGATGCCCCAATTTCAAATTGTGAGTGATGAGTCGTGAGCAGTTAGATAATTGACTTTTTGGGGCACAAACATGAACTTATACAACTTGAACTTGCGACTTTAAGACTTATAACTGACTCTATAACTGATTAATTCCCAAATTTCGGTAGTTTGTATTATTGTTGTTGAATTTGAAGTAATTTTCATATTTAGATTGATAATTCATTGAACTGAAGTCGAGATTGACTGAATACATAAGACAAGCATGAGTGGCACTTTCGTTTGGAGAAAGTTATTTCAAACTTGAGGTCAAATTGAATCTAAGTTGTAAACTTATATTTGTATCTTTCCTGCTAGGAATCACAGGTTAAAATATGAGACTTCGATAATATTTGGCCCGTACAAGTTTCTACTTCTGAGGGTGTTGTCGTTCGTAGGAGGGCGACAGCTGGTTAATGGTAATTTTCACGTAAACGTGATCATATTTGATCCTTTACTCCACACATTCCGACTTCCAGTCGAAAAAAACGATAAACTACTTTCAAATTTTCTTTGAAACAATTAAAAATTATAACCTACTTTCCAGCTTACATTGCCGTTTCCAACGGTTGACTTCTACTTCTATTCGCATCAGTTATCGGTTGGTTGAACTGAGGGCTCTCCTCCGAAGGAATGTAATCGAAGTTAGTTTCTAGAAGAGCCTCACTTTTCGCCCGCGTCTTCTTTTTCGGAGCGACTGGCTCGTCGAAATCAGTCTCGAGAATATTTGCAGAAAGCGGACGATCATCGGATGGGTCTGGACTGTAAGCTGGAGTGCTTACAGTTCGGGAATACGCCGGCGAATACTCCCTAGGGGGCGTTGGCGGCTTCTGCGGTAGTTTATTCTGCAACTCCTGCAAGAAATTATAACCAGGCCTCCCCCCGGTGTAACTAGAATCCGATTTGTCGCTGTGCAACGGCAGAGTATCGGTGTTGTAGTATTCGCTAGGCGGATACGAAACAGTTTCCGTATCCATTATCGGAGTCTCTTCGTCTTGCGTACTCTCTGCTCTAGACTGGTAGTTCGAATTCGTGGCGAAGGTGGAGTTGTCTCTAAAGCCTTCGTTTTTGAATGCAAGGTCGTGGATCGGTCTGGAGTACTGGTTTTCTGGACGAGCGGGCGATTTGTGGTACTCTATCGTCGGAGAGAAAGCGAAAGCGGCAGGGCTAGGGTTGTGACCTTCGTATACTTCGTACGACTGGTTATCATCTATGGACGAACCGTACGTTGACTTTTCCATGCTGTCTATGGAGCCGTTGGTTATCATTTTTTTGGTGAGGGTGTCTGTCGATTTGGTGCTCTGCAAAAAACATGGAAGTTCAATGGTACCTTAACGGCTAGGTAGTTCTAGGGTAAGTACAATTACTAACAATAGTTCAATATAATTTATACTAAAAAAACACAGGCCTTCAAAGTGTAAGAGCATTATCTTTGATCTGTGCAAACAAAAAAAAAGGAGATAACCAAAATTCAACTATGTACATGGTTCACCACTTTATGCATTCAACACCTTATGTATCTCTTTCGGTTCGACTTCCATATTTAAAATTAATTCATAGATGCTACGGCAATAAATGATGTACTTACTACCAAGCATACATCTTTCAGAGACAAACTGAAGTTGGTCAAGCTATACTAACTTTGTTGTTGGCACAAATTAATCTAATTATATATTTTTGGTAATATTCAACTAAAGGAAAGGGGATACAATAGTTTCATAGTATAATTTTTAGAAAACCCAAGGTTAATCTGTAATCAAATTAGAAACCACCTCAGTACAAATTATTTAAGATTATAAAAGTATGTATATACTTTAAATGATGTCGCTTCAGATGACACATCATTAATTGTGTCTAATAATAAATGTACTGCTGTCTGCAGATAATTTCTGAATAGTGATCAGAATGACACTTGGTAATACTCTGATAAATTTATCATAATTGACAGATTAACTGCTAACAATCTGATAAAGAATTTGATTTATCTTATACCTTATTTGAGAAATATGTTTCAAACGAAAATTCTTATAACATGGAAACATGGAAATAGTCCCCCATGCCATAACCTCAATAATAAACAAAATGACTGCCAAACTGACTTGCATACGTCAAAAAATATTAAACGTTTTGACATAAATGTCATTATTATCAATTTCAATTTGTAATACGGAACCCGATCTGGTATTATTGAGGAAAGCAATTATTTTTGACAGGCATTGGTGAATAATGTTTGATATTTGGAGAGTTATTTGAAAAGTTGGTGTTTTTCTAAAAGTAGGAAGAGTGGGAACTTCAAAATAAATAGTTTTTTTATGAGTAGTATAGCCAAATTCTTGCCTGCATTCACAGTTTGAAATGTTTTGTTTTATATTTTCAATGTTTTTGTTACCTGTCTTATTATTATCACCATATTACTGTTATGAACTTCAAAACTGTTTTATCATGTATAAATGAAAACCACAAAAATTGAGAATTGTTACTTCATACAAGCTTCAAAAATATTTGGGGTATATGAATATGAATGATGTTATATATTTTCACCTAGTGATGCATAATATTGTTAGGTTAGGTCAAAAGTAAGCCACAATAAACCCCGCAAGGGTTCTGATATCACTTGGTTCTATGTTCTATCAATATGAGTTTTCATTATAGAATTTTTATCACCATGTTACTGTTATGAACTTTAAAACTTTTTTATCATGTATAAATGAAATACACAAAAATTGAGAGTTGTTACTTCATACAAGTTTCAAAAATATTTTGGGTGTATGAATATGAATGATATTATATATTTTCACCTAGTGATACATAATATTGTTAGGTTAGGTCAAAAGTAAGTGGGTCTTCCACACTGTCTTCCGACAGTCCGAGTCTATACATATAATGATTCGGACAAGTGACCTGCAAGAAGGTCTGTTAGACATCGTAGTTCATCCCTACTGCAGTCCAACAAATGTTTGGTATCAAGCTTCGAAAGGTGAATAAACGCCTTGAAGTGAGCCAATTCTGGAAGGTTCTGATATCACTTGGTTCTATGTTCTATCAATATGAGTTTTCATTATAGAATTTGATCATTTAAAATGATGGGGAGATAGATAGATCCTTGCAAGTAGGCTTTGTTGATAGGTTAACACAAAAATATGAAGGAAGTGACAGACCCCTTGACAAATTCATTTCAATATATCCCATATGAAGTGTCTAACGAATCTAAAACAGTTTTTCCCGAGAGATGGGAATTGTATAGTTTCGCTAACTCGAAAAGCGTATTCCAGCGGTAAAAAAGTGTATGTGAACACAGCCATAAATACGAGTTTGAAGAAAAAAGAAAAACCTATAAGAGTTAACGAAACGTTCAACAACAGAGAAAAAAATGATGCAGACGAACCAGACGAAGTGACTTGTACAGTAACAGAACGCGAAAGAGACGCTGCCGTAAGGAGCCGGTTGTCGAAAGCCTGCAACACGTTAGCCAACAGAAAAATACCTCTGAGCCCTTCCGTGTTGAATTTATGCTTAGAAACCAACCGTATCAAAGGATCCGGCCTGGAGGAGTACCTCGCAGGAAGAACTGTGAAGCTGCAGAAACAGGACACTCCTCCTTTCATCGAATCTCCAAATAAATCTTCCTCCTCCTCTTCCCCACAGAGAATCGTTAGGCAAGAGCCCGGAAAGGTCATTTTCGCTTTCATACCGGAAGAGTGGATAAGAGCTTTCATTCCTAAAACCGGTGTGTCGGGGTTTTACACGTTTCTGTTTACTTTTAGCACCTACCTCGTCAGCAAAGAGTATTATGTTTTGGAGCACAACTACTACGGAGGTCTATCCATGCTGATCCTGTGGTGGGCAGGCATCAAATACATAGGCCCACATCTAAGAATGTATTTAGACAAGGAAATAGACATTTATGAAAGTTCTTGGAACAAAAGTCGGAAGGAAATGAAGGAAACTCTGGAAGAGCAAATAGAAGACGAGCGATTTCTTCAGTTCCAAGCTGAGGGGCAGACGCTGTTGATGGCAGCTAAAAGAGAGAACGTTGCGTTGCAGCTGGAAGAAGAATTTCGTAAGCGGCAAATGTACGTCTACAGAGAAGTGAAGAATAGACTAGATTATCACGTTAGAGTTGAGCAGGTTAAAAAGAGAATACAACACTTGAATTTGGTGGAGTACGTGAAAAGAGAGGTTACGAAATCTATCACACCGGAAATGCAGAACAAACTGATTGATATTTATATGAATAATATTGTGTTGGAATTGGGAAACGGTGACAAGAAGTGACTGCAGTGAAGGTGTAAATGAGATGTAAGTTTATTGTGAAAATACAGACTGTTGCTTTCACTTCCACAGATTTCTACAAAATTGACAAAAATATAGATGAGAATGTATTCCCAATGACATCTATACTGTTTTGATTGGTTTCCGGGTTTTGGCGTGGTCTTCTTCGGTTTAAGTTTCATTTGATAAGTCAAGAAGATTTTTTCTACAACTGCTTTACATTTTTATGAAAATTATTCAAAGAAGTAAGAATTGAAATGTACTGTCTCACTTTTAACCAATAAGATCAGTCTTGCCACAGCGAAGCTAGTGCGGTATTTCCAAAATATAAGTCATAATACATATGTATTTAGCTTCCAATATTCAATTGGTGGAAGATGTGGTTTAGATACTGTGAATGTTTTGTTCTAATTTATTCTCAGACAAAATTATTTTTTTCATATATGAGAAACATATTGCAATATAGACTGCATGCTTAGGGGAAGATTGGTATATACAACCATTATGGGGGAAACAGTCATGGCACGGGTACCAAGGGGCTGTCCTCAGGGGGAGGTTTATCCCCTCTGTTATGGAACCTTGTAATGGACGAGCTATTATGTCTCCTGGACCGCAATGGGTATAAAGCACTGGGCTATGCAGACGACTTAGTCACCTTAGTGCAGGGTAAATACAATAATGCAGTGAAGGGATGTATGCAGCAGGTTCTGAATATTATAACAAGATGGACCGAAGGAGAAGAGCTTAACTTAAGCCCATCCAAATCGACCATAGTAGCATTCACCAAGAGGACTATAACGGAGGGTTTCGGACCTCTAAAACTTCGAGGTGAAGAAATACAAGTGTCGGGGGAGGTTAAATATCTGGGAAAAAGCCCGAGAGGCTGTAGTGTTTTCTGGAGACTTGGACGAAATGGACAAGTCAGACAGCTCCCAAGGGACAAAAAAAACATATTTCAATGAAAGAACCAATCCACTTTGAACCACAGTTTGTTTGGAAGCAAATATGAGAAAGTTAGATGCCGTGGTTGGTTGATATACCGAAAACGTTCAGTTGAGACCTATAATTTAAGAACGTATAATAGTCATAGTCGCTGAAGGTGGGGATTTTCAACTATTAAGTTTTTTCATAAGTTTTGTCCGTTTTGATGAGTCTATGTGCTCTTTTGCCAACGTAACACAAGTCGCTAAATTCCGTCAGCATAAAAATTGTTCTCGGGTTGAAAGAGGGTTCTGATTAGCGAAGGTTCTACCGGTGAGACAGTGATCGAAGTGCTTGAAAAAATGGTAGTCTGTTGGCGGGAGGTCTGCGGAGTATGGTGGGTGAGTCAGAGCTTACACTCTCAATTCGTTTAGTTTTCGCACGGTGATTTGTGAACGTGCGTACGGGAGTTGTGGTAGAGCAGGACCAGAGGTCTTTTGTTGACCAGTGCCGGCTGTTGAATCAATTTTCTGTACATTTCGTCGTCTTCCTCACAATAGAACTCTGCTGTGATGGTTTGGCCCGGTTGCAGAAAGTTATGGCGAATCACACCAGTCGCTGACCACCATACAGTAACCAAGGTTTTTTTTGGTGAATTTTCGCCTTTGGGAAGTACCTGTTTGGATCATCGGATCATCACACTTGATGATTAGATCTATAAACGGATCGTTTTGGTTACGCGAAAGCAAAGAAGAACAGACTTCGAAACGTGACAATTTCTGTCGTTCGTTCAAATTGTGGGGCACCTGCTTTTTGAGCTTTTCTACCTTTCCAATACGTTTTAAAGTATCAAAAACCGCATGGGAGCTGACGTCCAGTTCTTCCGCCTTCCCATGCACTGTTTGTGATGGACCAGTCAAGACTAGGTTCCTCAAATCTTCGTCTTGTGGATTATTACAGCTCGACAACTTCATGGGACATCTTCGACACTTTCTTTGCCAAATGGCTGGTGAATTTTTCAGGCCTAATATTAATTTTTCGGTTTGTTCGGATTGTGTAATATCGGATCAGACTTTCCTCGTGAATAATGAACCTGTAACTAATAACCTACCGTTGATTTCTTAACTTACCAATTGTGCTGCTCTTCTCCTATATCCTGGATCGGCAAAACTGCCTTGAGATAGTCCCAGTGACTTGAGCGAGTGCAAACTTTGTCTAATACTGTTTTTCCTCTCCAAACGCTGGGTTTGCCGATATTTCGACTTGCTCCACCAAAACACCATCACGATAATTATCAGAAGGAGAGCTAGGGCTAAACTACTTATCACAGATATAGTTATCATATCGTCCGCGAGGGGAAGTATTCTAATTTGTACTTTGGGGTCTAAAACAGAAAAGACACGTAATTATTGACTGACTGTTCTGAAATTTGGCTTTTGTCTAGTTACCTATTTCGCAAATGAAGGGATTTCGATTTTGACAATCTTGCACATCTACAGATTGATAAGCGAAAGCGGTGCATTCGTTGATTTTATCGATATGCTGCACCCAAACTCTGTCAGAAAAGAGGAACCATTGGTCTTGTTGCCTCAAGAAATCATAAAGTGGAAGGTAGTTAATGTTGCCCAACAAATACGGAACTGAAGCGTTATCAGCCTACAAAAAACAAGTTATCATCAATGAGTTTGTTGTTCTTCAATTCATCAACATTTGCTTCGGAAATATGTCGGATATATAATTAAATGTACAACTGGTGTTTTGACGGATATATTTGAGGAAGAGGACTGGTCATTCTCAGCTAGCAAATATCCAATCAAAAAGTCTCTCGACTTCAAAAAGTCTCTCGACTTTTATAACTGTCACAACTCAAGGTCTTGGAACAAGAAAAACAAACAGTTGTGATGCTTTGTGAAGTACCCAAGAACTTGTACTCATAATATTATGTTAAAAAAATATACCGATGCGGTAAAATAGTATATCTATCTATCTCTCTCAGTATAATCACAAATATCTCTTGTCATCATCATAAGAGGTATTTTGATGAAGACCATTTTCACTGTAGATTGGTAAACAGAACAAGCGCTTACCTGACAAAACGCTTTAGCTTCCCAAAATGTCATCGGGGCACCGATATACATATAACAAGTTTCACCAACTAACTCCCATCCAGGAGGACATTTACTATTCAGAATGCTTCTGTTGTTCATGTAAAAAGGCTCGAATACCACTTCCAACAGTCGTCGATCGTCGTTTTGGTCTCTGATTCTGCCTCTCACAGCTTCAGTGACATTGATTCCCCAATAGTTGTTTGCTGCGTCTATTTTGGTGTCCCATAGTTGGAAAGTACTGTTGAACGAAAATGCGAATTATAATTGGTATCTTGTGCGCAAGATTCGAGACAAGAATATTCCCAGAACACACAATCCTTGCACCAGAAAGCTGAAGAAACGGAAAATTGTTATTTGGTGGTGACAGCAAAAAATAGTGTCTAAGATTTTAATTTTTTTGGCTAAAAGATATATTCAATCAGCACATTGTAGCAATATGTAACAATACTAGCTTTTACCCGCGGCTTCGGTCGCATTTGTGCCATTAAATAAGTGTCAGTACAATAGAAATGAGTCAATATGAGAATTATATTTTAATGCTTATTTAGGATTATCAGTTTTTAAAAATCATTACCTTTCCTAACCTAACCTAACCTAACCTAACCTAACCTAACATAATCTAACCTAAACTAACCTAACCTAACCTAACCTACCCTAACCTAACATAATCTAACCTAAACTAACCTAACCTAACCTAATCTAACCTCACCCAACCTAACCTACCCTAACCTAACATAATCTAACCTAAACTAACCTAACCTAACCTAATCTAACCTCACCGAACCTAACCTACCCTAACCTAACATAATCTAACCTAAACTAACCTAACCTAACCAACAAAGTAGTTAGATTTTGATAAACAAACTTACATTCGCATTTATGATATTAGTAGGGAAGTAGGGATAATACTGATAATAGAGCAGAACTAGAAAATTTCACATTAGCATATTTTTTCTCCCACACTCTAAGTGAGTACACACTTGTCTTGTGCAGTGAGAAAAAATAGCGTGAAGTGAATGCATAGACAAAAATTAAAAGGAAGAGAAAGAGAAAAAAGAACACTATTTACAATATAAAAATAGAAAATTACTCATAATAATATTACTGATATTAAGATGAAAAATTTAAAAATTTTAGATTAGCATATTAATACAATAATAGAGGGTGACGAGGTACAAAGTGAGGGCATATTACAATAACGATTATGTCATCATTTTATCCTTCATTCTGTAAAATCCACAATTTATATGTTCGAGTGAGAAACAAGAAACTGTGAACATACGTTCGAGTTGAGTGTACCAACAGAAAACATTGCTAATCGAATGTATTTAGTCCGCTAAATTTGAACATTCCTGGTATATATCTTTTTCAACTTTCTAAAATTGTCTGGAATTTATCACTGTGCCTGACATTTTCTTATATTCTGAACGAAAAATGGATTTAATCCGTTGAAAATTCGACGAAATACAAAAATATGGAAGTAGCGAAAAGAGAAAGCACACTATAATATTTAGCTAAGGATTGAAAGAATATAAGATATTCCAAAATTAGGAATCATTTCAATTCTGTAAGGTGTGCGAACTTGAGATGACAGAGAGTATATTAAAAGTTGAATTCATCATTTTGGAATATCCATTTGATATAGAATCCACAGCTGAAATTAACAGTTCTTTATTATTAGCACCCAAACAATAAACAAACATTTTTATCAATACTCCAGTCGAGAAACCAACAAAACACCAAAATGGTTCATATCAACAAAGCAAAGTGACTTTTGATGAGGAAAATTTATTTTGAATTGAAGTTTTTTTATAATGTAAATGTTTTTCGTTGGAGCATTGTTGAATTAGCTTTGAAAAATACCATCTACCTATGTATTCTTACCTGTTGAATTCAAAACTGCATGCACCATGCAACAAAAAAATACATTAATACGGTAGTGCTAATTTTTTACCTGATTTCTTTTGTCGCAAAGCATGGAAATCAAAAGTAAATGAAATCAATTTTGAAATGGGATAAATGTATTCAATACATAGAATGGTGGAAAATCAGTTTAAAAAATTGTTACACAAACAAAAAAAATGTGGCGTCTCGGGACGCCCGACAGAAGTGATAAATTAAATTAATCTGAGTTGAACTATTTGATATTTGAATGGTTCAAGCTTAGGTTATTACTTAAATTTCATGTATATTGATATGATAATGTAAGGAAAGGTTATTCATTAATAGAAACTTTTATTGATTATTTTGTGTATGTACATATATTATATCTACCATAACATTGAAATCTACTGCTAATTCTTAAGAGCCTACTCGTCCGTAAATGTGTACTCGCATTTCTCTCTCTTACCTCTACAGACATATACGAAATGTAACTCTCCCTTTCTATCTCCACTAACTTATACCTCTCTTTCAACTTCCGTTCGCTTCGCCCAATCACACTTTTCATAACGCTCTCGTCTCGCATACTACAGCTTACTCCCGAAGTCAAGCACGCTTACATAAGTTTCAATTCAAAAATCAATACATTAGAGGTCATTATCCTTTTCAGTTGGAATGGTCAATTCTGTAAGAATTCATCTTGATTCATGTAATACCGATTTAAATGATTTAATCAATATTAAACAGTGAAATTAACTTTTTCATTAGTTCGGACTTCCAGACGATGGAAGCCCGAACAATGGAAGTTGAATTCGTTGTCGTCTCATAAGAAAATGGTTTTACAAATTATAAATATATATCCGATCTGCCAAAAAAATTGCATGAATATAGCAGTCAAAACTAAGCTACTGGATTCTGAATGATACTTACAGAGATCTGTTGACTGTAACCATTTCGTAGTCATTATCAGGATCAAAGAAAATGTTGTCGACATAGTGTTGACCTGCAGTTCCTGCCACCACGGTAGATCTGCTGTCCCGATTCTCTGCGAAGTTACTAAAACATAAAGTGGTTTTCAACACTGTCATAAGTAAGCATTTAAAGTATTTCGTTCGTTCATATTTTATTCAAATAATTCATGAGTAGAATGGAACTTCTGGCTTACAATGAACACTTTCCACACACCAGAACAGAGGTACGTATAGCCATTCGACTTGCGTTTCGCTAAACTAACTTGGCATCACTAGGAGATGACAAAAGCTGTTAGTAGTTAGTTTAAGTTACTTCAATTCATCTGATGACGCTAACTTAGTTAGCGAAATGTGCATCGCGACACATTTCTGGTGTAGATTCTTGTGCAGGGATACAACCCCAGTAATATTAAATATTATTATAAAATTGTTATATGTTATAATAAAAGACTCCAATTTCAGTAAAATGAGTCAGAATATCGGTAGGTGTACTGCAAGGATATTCTCTGGGGCCCTTGATCAACATAATCTATATATCAATCAAATTGCATGGACCCAAAACGAGTGATAACACTTCCTTACTGATCCACAGTGTGAAATTTGCTCACAATGAAATATTGAAAGGTTCTCCAATGAATAAGTTGACGAATGATCTTTACTTACTGGTAGAAGCCATTATGAGTCGTAGTCTGGTAAATATTCAGCCTGACCCTGTCGAATCCAGATATTTCCAAATTTTGAAAGCCAATGTTCCTCTTCACGTAGTTGTAAGTGAAATTAGACACTACTTGTTTCAGAACGATATTATTGTGATAAGGCGCTACGTTTCTTGTGAAATAGTTACGATATATCGTAACTTCCTGGTACGGGGACGACTTTCTACCTTCCACGTAGACCGTGGGTAGGTTGGAGTTGTTCACGAAGAGGTTGTTGTGGATGAGTCCTCTTAGAGAAGTCGCCGAGCCTCGAGAATCAGCTTTTATGTATAGTCCACCTTGGTTTTGTTCCACCAGATTGCTCTAGAAACAGAAATTACATACTGTGTTTCACAATCAACACACTCTATATATTTTCAATGGATCAATAGCTCATGATTAACTTTGTCGAAAGCTTTGGGGAAATCAGTGTACACAGAGTCAACTTGCAAACCCTTAGACAGAGCGTCAGACAGAAAATCAACGTAGGTAACGGTCATCAACGGTCATCATTTGAAATATCTTATACACCTACCCTGAAAAATATCGACTGGGTATTTTGAACATCCATTTCCACAGCTGCCTTACAGGTTGTGAAATTACCGTATAGCTTCCTACAATTGTTTTTGAATTGGTTTTTTTCTATCGTCACTGTGGGATTCACTTCTCCAGACGCCATGTAAAGCAAAGCGCTTTGAACGTTGTTGTTGATAACTGAACGAGTTATATTGTGTTGCACATCCCGATCTGCAAAAAATGAAACTACATGTTATCAAAAGGCAAATTCATAGTTATTACAATTGAAACTACCACTGTCAATATTTCAAATCGTTTAAAATCAAATAAATATTTTTTCAAAGATCTGTCACCCATCATGGAATATGATAACTACTTCCCGGACTAATAACACGACGAACATCGAATAATAACGAACAAACATACCAGGGTGGTCCCAGATGTACCTGGCCTGACCTAGAGATGGCGTTAGTTGTTTGAAAAATATAAGGGTATTAGAAAGTACACAATATAAAAAGCGTGTGTTTCAAGTTTGAAGAGGCCGCGTTGTTAAGTATTTGTTTGGCAGGCTTCAGTAGCGAACTTTTTTGGTGAATTTGTGAATATGGAGAAAATTGGTCATCGTTGTGTGGAACAATACTTTTATTTGAAAGACCTCAGCCCAACTAATATAAAAGCTAGACTGGATTCTACTCTGGGTGAGTCTGCTCACCCAGATACTTCTAGGGCCACTAAATACAAGTTTCCTTACACAGGAAAATGTTCTACATGCATCTCGTTTTCATTTTCACAGCACACCTACTGTAATGAGTGATTTTTTTGCTGGTATCTTTTTGGCAACACTGTTTTTGACAGATCACGCGTGAATCGTGTCTTGTGTCATTGTCAAACTTATTCAGTTTGGTCTATAATTTAACCATGAATCGACCTACGAATGAAAAACGCTTGCAAATTACTGAATTTTATTATCAAAATTCATGCTCGGTGAAGAAAGGGCATCGTGCACTTCTCTCAATTTATGGGCAGTTTCGTCGGCCTACTGAGGGAGCTATTCGGAAGTTTGTGACTAAATTTCGAACCCAGTTTACATTATTGGACATTGAACCATCAACACGCATACGCAGAGTGAGGACCGAAGAAAATATTGCGGCTGTATCCGCCAGTGTTCGTGATGACCGTGAAATGTCGATTCGCCGCCGTTCGCAGCAATTGGGCCTCTGTTACTCCACTACGTGGAAAATTTTGCGAAAGGATTTGGGTGTGAAACCTTATAAGATACAGCTGGTGCAAGAATTGAAGCCACACGACCTCCCACAACGTCTAACAAAATGGAAGAATTGGAAATGCCTGACATGTGATTTCAACAAGACAGTACCACATGCCACACGGCACGCGAAACAATGGCCCAATTAAGAGCCGCCTTCGGTGAACAGTTTATCTCACGTTTGGGGTTCGTCTATTGGTCGCCTAGATCGTGACAGACAGACGACAGACGCTCTGGAAGCCAATATTGAAACATTTATACGTGAAATACCGGTCGATATTGATACTTCTAGGGCCACTAAATACAAGTTTCCTTACACAGGAAAATGTTCTACATGCATCTCGTTTTCATTTTCACAGCACACCTACTGTAATGAGTGATTTTTTTGCTGGTATCTTTTTGGCAACACTGTTTTTGACAGATCACGCGTGAATCGTGTCTTGTGTCATTGTCAAACTTATTCAGTTTGGTCTATAATTTAACCATGAATCGACCTACGAATGAAAAACGCTTGCAAATTACTGAATTTTATTATCAAAATTCATGCTCGGTGAAGAAAGGGCATCGTGCACTTCTCTCAATTTATGGGCAGTTTCGTCGGCCTACGGAGGGAACTATTCGGAAGCTTGTGACTGAATTTCGAACCCAGTTTACATTATTGGACATTAAACCATCAACACGCATACGTAGAGTGAGGACCGAAGAAAATATTGCGGCTGTATCCGCCAGTGTTCGTGATGACCGTGAAATGTCGATTCACCGCCGTTCGCAGCAATTGGGCCTCTGTTACTCCACTACGTGGAAAATTTTGTGAAAGGATTTGGGTGTAAAACCTTACAAGATACAGCTGGTGTAAGAATTGAAGCCACACAACCTTCCACAATGTCTAACATTTGGTGAATGGGCGCTGGCAAAGTTGGAGGAAGATTCACATTTTTATCGAAAAATTGTGTTCAGCGACGAGGCTCATTTCTGGTTGAATGGATACGTTAACAAGCAAAATTACCGCAACTGGAGTAAAGACCAGCCGCAAGCATCGCAAGAGCTCCCGAAGAAGTCACTGTTTGGTGTGGATTATGGGTCAGTGGCATCATCGAGACGTACTTCTTCGAAGACGACAATGGCCGGAACGTTACTGTGAATGGCGAGCGCTACCGTGTGATGATTGACGACTTTTTGTTGCCCAAAATGGAAGAATTGGAAATGCCTAACATGTGGTTTCAACAAGACAGTACCACATGCCACACGGCACGCGAAACAATGGCCCAATTAAGAGCTGCCTTCGGTGAACAGTTTATCTCACGTTTGGGGTCCGTCAATTGGCCGCCTAGATCGTGACAGACAGACGACAGACGCTCTGGAAGTCAATATTGAAGCATTTATACCTGAAATACCGGTCGATATGTTAGAGAGTGTGCCAAAATTGGACCTTGCGCATGGGCCATCTAAAGCGGAGCCGCGGACAACATTTGCATAAAATCATCTTCAAACATTAAATTATATTGATCGTTATATCGATTCCAATAAAGATTTCATCAATTTTCTTGAATTTTTTTGTGTTGTTTTGAAAATCAAATCCTATACCTCTCGAAAAATCACCCGTTATGATGTCTATATACTGGTGAAGACTCATACAGACGCCCAGGAAGAAGATTTGCGAATTTTTCAACGTAATGATATGAATTGTGATTCATTTCACAGAATAATGGTCAATAAACAATTTCGCTGGTTTTTGCAACCGCCTCACGTATTTAGTTCAAATAAACACTTTAATGTAGGCAACATAGGTCATAGATCAGTTGGCAACTGAGATAAATAATTATTTTGACTAATGCCAATACCGTCTGGCAACTTTTGAACATGTTTGAACATGTTTCAGATTTTCTGAAACGAAAACGCATCTATCAAACTACCAATCTGTAGGCATCTAAGCCATTTGGTAATCGTTTGCAGTCATTTTAACTACAATGAACCAGTGATAGCACCCTCTCGTGAACAAAACCGGAAACAGGAAGCATGCGCATTTATTATCCTTCATTTAATTAGCCAGGAGGGTATTTTTTTGCAAACATTTGTATGACTGCATCACTTAGGAATGTTGGACTCAAGAGAGGGATATTTTTTCATAGCTCATTTACTAAAAATACGTGAGTTTGTAACTTACTGAATCCAATTGCCGATATCGGCAAAGTAACAACCTCGGCAATGAATCCATGATCAGAAGAAGCGCCATTAGCAAACAATTTCACACTCAAGCTGGGCAGCGTGGATCGGAACAATCTGTTCCCGTTATTGGTTGTCATCGTGACTCTGTCAATAACTTTGGACGACACGTTGTAGATGTCGCCGTCGTACATCTCCAGAAAGTCCGGTATCCCGTACTTTGTGGTGGAATTAAACAAGTCGAACTGCAGAAGCCTCAATCCTAACGGCTTGATATTGAAATCGCTTCGGAATATTTTGATGCAGTTTACCGGGTGGTTGTCATATTTGTAGTAAAGCAAGATTCTTTCCTGGATCCTTATTTCCTTGTGGGTGTCGCAAATGTCAACGAGGCCGAACAGGTGGTAAGGAACGTTCAGCCCCTTCAAAGGGTTGAAGCTGGACTCCTCGGACTCCCTTCCTTCTCCGGAAAGGGAGAGTATGTTTATTCCTGCCCCTAAAGAGTTTTGTATGTCGTTTCGAAGCAGAATCATGGTGTTGGTGGGCGATATCAGGTCGATGCCGTGCGACGCTGAGTTATTTATTTCCACGTAGCTTATCGTAGGGCTCTTGATGATGCTCTGTACGGCTGAGGACTTCTCGTTGTGCAAAATTCCCGCTCCCGTAATTTTCACATACTGCAGCGTGGATTCGTGCGCCTTGATCGTACTGTGCGTGTGGATGTCATGTATCCTGTGATTGTAGAGCTGCTGTTCGAACTCTGCGTCCGTGAATCTTATCCCTCCCCAATAGCTGGTACTACTCTTGAACCGATCGCAGTGGATGAAAACAAACTTAGAGTTCCACTCACATCGGTGTCTGTGTCCAAATTGCTGCCCGTTCAGCCTTATCGGGCAGTCTTCGTACCTTCTTTCGGTTCCCGTGCACTGCAAAGGTTCGGGCCAGGTCCAGATCCTCGACAGGGAGTTGCTGTGGAAGTCGATGCGCTCTCCGAATTCGAAAAACGCGCTCAGCGGGTCAAGTCCGAGCTCTCTGCATACCACCTGGGCATTGCGCTCGGTGAACCTTGAATCGCACATCGGTATCCACTGGAGGGTGGTTCCGTTGAAGTACTCGAGGAAGCCTTCGTTTATGGGGCCTTCGTCGTTTTCTATGCAGCTGCGGCTCTTGCAAAGCCTGGAACAAGATTTATGGTAGGGCTTGAGCTATTAGGTTTTCAAATTCATATATAATAAAATCAGTTCCACGTCATCCATTACGCTATGAAGTAAACCTAGTGGAACCAATCCAATTTTGCTGTTGGCAGCAGATCTAATATTGCCTTGTTGTACCCAATATTTTGTTATTCATGGATTAAAAATTGTAGGTTGAAGGTTAGAGAGTTTGACACCAACTGTGAACAACGTCCGTCGTACTCTGGAGGATATAACAAGCTACCCTTCCCGATATGGACCTTGCCAAGCCACCAAGGTCATCTGCATATACTTGCAGATCTACTTCTCTTCTGCTGAGGGCGTCAAGCAGACTATCCATCAGGAGCGACCACAGAAGGAGAGTAGTAGTACCCCACCTTGAGGGCAGACCTTGGTGATTCTGAACTTAATTGCCTCATCTTGAAGGCCATTGGTATATAGAAAAAGTGTTTGAAATTTTACTGATTGTTTCAAGACAAGAAACATGAAAATTATGCTAGCGAGATCGATAATCAGCAACGTCGATAATTAGCATGGCTGACTATCATTCTTTTCACTACAAGTTCAACCAGTTTTAGGATTTTCGATTCCTCATTTTCCGATTACATGTATGAAACATCTTCAATATCGCACTCGAATGATAATTCAAATATATTTTGTTGAATTCATAATGTATGTTCATTTCCACAAATCATCGAGAATCATTAGAGTCACGGAAATTAATTTACCTAGAACGTGCTTATTTGTCGTATCATAATCGTGTTTTTTTTTATTTTGCAAGGTTATTTTAAATGTTAGCTCTGTGCGCCAAGTTTGTGTACAAACATAGGTCTTTCACTGATTTTCTTCAAAATTAATCGACTATAACTCACCTAATTGCTTCTTGACCGTAAAACTGCTCAATTTCCCTTTTCTCTCTAATATCCAAAACACCCCTTTCATCTTTCATCAAATTTTCAGAAACCGAAACAGGCCTCATGACAATCTCACTTCCTGCAAACCCTCTGGCGTTCAAAACGCCCAAGACGAGTATCCCTACATTGGGCGCAAACTCCATCACAACCCCAGGCATAATCGTCAAGGTCACATTGGGCATCACGGTGATGTCTTTATGTACAAGATAAGGCCGCCCCCTATTGGTCAACCTCAAATCTTCATAGATCCTCCCTCCTAAGTCGTCCAAGTCGATGGTGGAGTTAACTGAAAACGTAGCCGAGTAGCTGGATTGGAAGTTGTCCTCCAACAAGTAGGGTTTGTACTGGGCGATGGCGTGATCGTTCCAATCGTCAAAATCGAATATCTTGCTCTTTATTTCTTTCTCGTTATCGGAGCCCCACCAGTTCTCCGCCACGTTAAGGAAGTTGTTGATTTTCGCAGTCTTTATTCCCGCCAGTAAGTGATAGTCAAGACTGTTGCCGGAAAAGAGATTCCTATTGACTCTGACTTTCTGAATGCCTCTGAATCCAACCACGCAAGTGGGTTCCCTGTCCAACTGTAACACCCCTCCTCTTGCTCTTAAAAAGTATTTGTTGTTCCTCAGCTCGTTATATGTGAACACTGCTGGCACGCTTCCGATTATTTCGCTCTGGCTGTTCGAGCTGAACTCCACGACGTAGATGCCATTGTTGTTGACGAATTTGTTGTTCATTATCATTAATTTTTTCTCCATGCCCTTTAATGCCAGCAGGCCTTTCTTGCAGTTATTGTCCTGGAAGACGCTGTTGGTGATGTTGACAATAGCGAAGTGCCCGTCGACGGTGATTTCGAAGTTTTTGTTGTTGGACCAGGTGTTGTTGTCCATGTAAATGGAGTGGGTGAAGTTTTCGTTGTACTGCCACACGTAGGGAAGGGACATGTCCAATCCTCCTCCTGAAAATCATTTGAATAATTTCATATAAAATCATTTGAAACGTTGGTAGCAACGTCAATGGTCCACAGTGCCCCACGTTGGGCCCCTATATTAAAACTAGATTTCTGATGCACGGGAAAAATAATCACCAAATCCATTATTTACAATATTCGTATACAGTCCACTTAGAAAAATCAAGGCTGTCTGAGAACAACACCAAAGGAGATAAAGGAACCGTTGCGAGTCAGAGTGAACACAGTACGCCCTACATTTGTAGTATTATGTATATTGGAACAATGAGGAGATCTGTGACGAAAATTACCTTTATTGCTCTCGATTGTATTATCCTGAAACACGTAGTGAAACAAGTTGTTGGAAGATCTCATATCTCTGGAAAACTGATAGATTCCTTTCCCGTTATCAGCAATGGTGGTCTTGTTGAACATGAACGTGACTTCGGATATATTGCTCGTGTGCAAATCCCAATACGGAGAGTGAACGAATACGGCCTCTTTTAGGTTATGACTGATCTCGCAATTCAAAAACTTCATCGACTCGTTGGCCTTCCTCAAAAAATGATTGCCCAGTTCGTCCAGGTACCTGTTGTAGTAGGAAGCATGTACCCCGAACGTGTTTTTTCTGATTGTAGTACGTGTAGCACTCAAGGTTGGAACTGGTCCTTTTACTATACGGTTGTAGATGTTTTGGACCGGCGCCTTCACTGGGTTCACGACTATGACAGTCCCACCAAGGGCGTTGTTTCCACTGGTATAGTCAAGTACGATACCGTGAGCACTTGAGGTCGTAGGAAAAACGGTTAGGTCTCTTTTAAGAACGTAGAAATTCGAGTTGGAGGAAGCCGATAACGCGTCATGAATAACGATACTCTCCGTGCTTCTGTTTTCTATCGGATTCAAGAGCTGAATACCCAGAACCAATCCGGGATCGCATCTTATCTTGTAGGACCGGGATATACTGTCACCGACCACTTTAGACGTAACCAGATATTTAGTTTCGCCCCTTTGCAGCTCCACCACGTTCTGGTCCAAGTTGTGAGGAATCGCGAAGGGATTGTAGTAGTTCTCGTCATCGTTTTTGGTAAACCAGCCCGCAAGCTCTCGTTGCTGCACTCCTGAGAAAATAGGGTTATGTTCGATACCGATGAAGTTATTTTCAATTTTGTTGTTGTACAAAGTTAAGCCGAGTTGTTTGAGGCTCATTCCCGCTCCTTTGTTGTTGGAAAAATCAGAGTTCTTGATGATGTTCACCGATTCGGAGAAAATGTCCGAATACATTATACCAAGTCCGTGGAAGTAGTTGTCTGTTATTTTTATGTTCTCGAAGTTTTGACGCCCGAAGTCGAGCTGCAGTGCGGGCTTGAATGAAGTGGTCGCGTAGTCCAACAGTCCGGCTTTTTCTATGGTGAGGAACTGGATGTCGGTTCTTTCCGCTAAGGAGCTGAAACGTACGCCTGCCCAAGAGGTTTTGTAACATCTCACACCTACGTCGTTTTCGTGGGTACAGGAGTTGAAGAAATCACCGGAGGTTTCTGAGCGGCACTTCGTGACGTCCAAGTCGAAGTCGTCGCACTGAATGTTGGACAGAATTACGTTTTCGGTAGTTCCAGCTGAGGGTATCTCGCTCCTTTCCAGATTCCTAAAATATATAAGTCAAATATACTGTAAGTATGAATAAAAAACTTGCACTAACAAAAGTACAAATTACAACCAAAGAGAAGATGGTAGAAAATAAACAGCTGCACATTTCAGAATTTCTCGCTAATTATATTTACAGGTTCTTTTAGATATGCACAGGGCCTTAGCTTGACTCTGTTTGCAGAAGCCAAACGCTCAAGAAAATATTCCCGAAGGAAACAGAATAAGTTTACTCACCAATCATCTGGATTCAAAACATATCCCAGTTGCTGACAAACTAGTGCAGCATTTTTCATGGTCCATCCATAATTGCACACGGTTCCCCATTGATCGTTCACCTTTAACTGCAACCGACCTTCAGTTTCACTTTCCCCACCCAACAACCTGATAGGAACTTTAGGTTCTATAACGAGAAGTTCGGTTTGCGAATCGTATTTTTCAGTCTCGGTATCGTAAGTGATATTATCGGGCGCGTGAATGAGTTCTTCCTTCAAAGTGAACCTGATACTTCCCGGTTCTATTCCCCTGGCCTCTAATCGCCCGCCCACCATCATTCCGATGGATGGAGGGAAGCGAAGGGTAACACCTGGCTCTATAGTCAGCTTCCCCCCAGGCCTGATCGTTATGTCTCGCGTTACGACATATTCCCCTCTAGCTATGAACTCTTCTCCCTCGATTTCTCCTCCAATCTTATCAGAAGTTCCAGAGGAAAATTTTGGCACGTAGAATTGGTTCGCGTTTATTCTCGACGTCAACGGGTTCGTGTTGTGCAAAAGAAAAGGGATGAATATGATCTTGGCTAAGTTGTATCTATCGTAACGGTGGAAGATCCTGTAAGATATATTCTCGTCATTTCCAAACCCGAGCCAGTTGAAGGTGCAGTTGATCGTTTTACTTTGATCTTCGAAGTGGCTTCCGATTTCGTATTTGGAGTCCGGGTTCTCTATTATGTTCCTGAATATTTCGATGTTACTGGAGCCTACAACTACGGGCGCTGCCACCCTGCTTCTGGGGTTGAGGTTAGAAACGGTTCCGTCTTCCATCTGGAAAGGTTCACTGATTTTGTTGCTCTTCACGAAGTTTCGTGTGAAAAGTAAGTACTGTCTTTCAGCATAGGGTGAAATTCCTAGGTTGACCACAAAGGTTCCGGAATTGTTCAAGAAATAGTTTTGCTGAACGGTAATTTCGTTTCTGAGAACGTTGAACTCTTCCAAGGGCTTGTTCTTTATGAGCAACCCCCCGAAGGTGCCCTGTCTGAAGTGGTTGTATTCTATGTTAGCCTGGAGGTTGACGGCTGGTGAAATTTTCAAGGATATCCTCTCGTTCCCCAGGAACTTATTGTGACCAATCTGCAGCTTAGTGAGTACTTCAGTTTGTCTCCAACAGGAGATAATTTCCAGAGCGTCACTCAGGCAGTTTTTGAATGAATTTTCCGTGAAGTTGAACAACGCTTCTCCGCAATAGTTACCATGCAACACTCCAATGTCCAAATTTTTGTAGATCTCCGAATACTGGACGACCGTGGTCTGGTTCACGAAGATATACTCAGTCTCTGCGGTGTCGTTTAACCAAATAGCTACGCCGTAACCTTTGTTAGAGCTTATGGACGACCTGGAGATGTTTCTGTTACCACCAGTGTAGGTGATGTTGATTCCATCGCCTTCGTTGAAGGAAACTCGGCTTTCCGTTACGTTAACGTCACCTGCTCCGCTCGTCACATGGATTCCAGCCACATGCTCGTTCTTTGACGCAGAACTCTTATGCACGTGGATCTGTGATCTGAGATTGTCGATCGCCACACCTCTCCCAATATTCTCGGATATATCAGAGTTGCTGACGTTTAGATCAAAGGTTTTTCTCAGCCCTGAGAGTATCCGCATGAAGATCACCACGTCCGAGGCGGGGTCTGCTCGAAATTTGATGAAAATCTGGTTACCAGTGCTCGCTATCGTCTGCGGCCTCGTGTTGTTTCTTATCGAGAACTTGTTCAGTATTCTGTGGTTCAAAGTGGAGCCGTCGAAGATCTCAATAGAGGCGCTGTCGTTCCGACTTGTGACAGCTCTAATAAACTGAAGAGTCAGTACATGCCCGTATCTAGTTGTGAAGGCCTTGCTACAAGTTACTTCCCTGTTCAAAAAAAGAGTTTGCTCAGCGTACAGCTGCAAGGGAAACGTCTGGCTCGACGCGATTGCCAGTTGGCAAAAATCGTTGTAGCCGTATCTGTCAGCTCGTTCGTCAGGGCGTTCCTCAGCTCTGACGAATCTCACACCGTCCCCGCCGTTTTCATTCACCACGCACCCCTCTATGTGCGCCAGCCCATAGCTGGAGTTGATGAATATACCGTAGCCTCTGTTATTCGTGATCTTGCAGTTGTTTATCCTCACAGGCGCCTCGGGGTTGGTGACGTTGATCCCGTTGTAGGCAGAGCTGAATACCTCCAAGTAGTCCACTGTGGGAGGCACCCCCGTTACGTCCAAAGCACTGGTGGTGTTCTGATCACGTCCCGCTCCCGCGTACTGTACATTAACGTACCGGAGCCTCGATCGGGACTCCGGGAGGAACAGTGTGTTGTCGAGGGTGAGTTTTTTATCGTTCAACGCGTTTTCGAAGCGGAGACCCCTCCAGAAGGGTAGGGGTTTGTCGTGTCGGGGCAGGCATTCTACTCCGAGGTCGGGGTGGTAGTCGCATACTCCGGATCCAAGTTGTCTAGTGTTCCACTGGCAGTCTTGTAATGAGCTTTCGGTTCCTGAGCATTTAGGTTGTTCGTAGAGGAGGCGAGGCTTCAGAGGCATTTGTCGATTCATCCAGCTGTAGAAGGTTCCGCCTTGGAAGCCTAGTTGTCGACAAGTGGTCGCCATGTCGAAAATGGTCCAGCTGGAAAGTAGAAAATTGAATGGCAATGGTATTGACATTCTATGAAAAAAGTAACCTGATCAATTGTAAACAATTAGATGGATAGATAGATATAGATAGATAGATATATTTATTTGACAACTTCACACTTGAATGTTTGTTGCAAGTCAGTTAAAATATACATAGAACAAAAAAAACTAGTCACAAGTTAAAAATATTGAATCATGAATTGTGAATAGAATGAAAGATGATTTTCAACATTACAATAATCAGTCAAGTGTCAAAAAACAAATATTATGAATGAACATGAGCTTCACATATCAGATGAAATAAAATCAAATCTAAATCGGCATAATTGAAGTACTTAATAATCCTGAGTACTATAAAAACAGTTTTCCAGGAGAATAGTTCTGACTCTGTTTTTGAAGGAGCTTTGTTTGAGCACTTTGAACGAATTAGGAAGATTCATGTAGAGATTGATATTCAATGAATTTTCAATAGACCTTGTGAGTTTGTATCGAGGCTTTATGAACAGATCTGCATTTCTTGTAGCATGATGATAAATATCCTGATGCTGCGAATAGATTGATTTATTTTTATGGATTTCAAGTAATTGACTATATATGAATAGCGATGGAATATATGGAATAGCCATTTTTTTGAAGAGCAGCTTACAGTGATCTCTATAATTGGCATTCATCAATATTCTGACTGCTTTTTTCTGAAGTCTGAAAATTTTGGTGGAGTGAGAGGAATTACCCCACAAAACTATGCCATAATTCATATCTGAGTGGAACAAAGCAAAATATGAACTTCTCAGTGCGTCAAGAAACAATACTCTATTAAGCTGTCGAAAAGCAAATATACTCTTACACAGCTTCTTACTCAGTTAATAGACCTTGTGAGTTTGTATCGAGGCTTTATGAACAGATCTGCATTTCTTGTAGCATGATGATGAATATCCTGATGCTGCGAATAGATTGATTTATTTTTATGGATTTCAAGTAATTGACTATAATGAATACCTATGGTGGTGGTAGTATACCCATTTTTTTCAAAAGCGGCTCACAGTGATCTTTATAATTGGCATTCATCAATATTCTGACGGCTTTTTCCTGAAGTCTGAAGATTTTAGTGGAGTGAGAGGAATTACCCCACAAAACTATGCCATAATTCATATGTGAGTGAAACAAAGCAAAATATGAACTTCTCAGTGCGTCAAGAAACAATACTCTATTAAGCTGTCGAAAAGCAAATATACTCTTACACAGCTTCTTACTCAGTTCATCAATGTTTGCATACCATGATAAATTCCGATCAAGAGTGAGTCCTAGTAGTTTGGCAGTATCATCGCCATTTTCAGTGGTTTCAGTATTTGAGGTCGTAAACAAGACCTTCTGGGTCTTGCGTTCGTTTAATTTCAACTGATTTGTTGTGAACCACAGAAACGCCTGTCTCAGAGTATCATCACTAATTGATGGTGATTCAATTACGTTTTTTTGAGACGTTATTAGAGTTGTGTCATCTGCGAAAAGAACACATTTACCTGGTGACATAAAATGACTGAAGTCATTGAAATATATCAAGAATAGCAATGGTCCCAGAACGGATCCCTGCGATACACCATTCTTGGTAGTTTTATTGTCAGACATGTTTCCATTCACACACACAGTTTGGGTTCTGTTACAGAAGTACGACTGAAATAAACCGAGTGGTAGCCCCCTCACTCCATAAAACTACAGTTATGACTAGTGTTCCAAGCAATCGTGGCCCATGAGAAATTTGGAATAATGCAAAAGTTAAGAAGTTTTGTTGAAATGGAAACTTTTATCAAATTGTCATTGAAAGTAATTACAACAATGAGATGTGACGGAATTGGCCGATACTCGATGAAACTCCATAACAGTGTCGTGAAATAAACATTTTTCATTGTATCTTTCATTGAATATTTCAATGGAATCTAATAACTTTCAGTTAGAAATTGAAATGATATGAATAAGAAACGGGATATGTTCTAATATGGAACACTGTGGAACAACGGACGTTCCAGTTTTATCGTCCAAATGGAACTCTGTGCTCCACCACAATCAATATACTCCAATGAACTCATTTGTCTTTTACTGTCTGGGACTGAGAAAGGTATTCTTTTCAGTGTTATCGAACTACACATAACAAGAACAATATTTGCAGAGGTACAGATGTACCTGATATCTGCCCAAAAACCAAATATTTAACTCAAATAAACAAACTCACTTTCTCGAGTTCGTGCAAACACTTCTCCATTGTCCGTTATGACGAATTTGAAGCCGTCCCGCCAATATCGTCGGTCCGTCCACGAGCCGGATGTCGGGGAAATTGATATTCCTCGCAGATGACTCCTCTGAAGTCGTTAACGTGATTCGTTCGTCTTGAGTACCCTGGAAAATAATGCAATTCGTGAGGGTATGTTCCGAAGCGTTGTTTAGAACATGCTTAGGCAAAGTGANGGGGTGTAGTATACTGATCTCTTTGGCGGGTGTGATACTGATGTGAAGGAAACGATGCCGTATGTCTATTTGTATGATATTTAGTGCTAAAGCATAAAAAATACAACTGTCGTATGTCTAACAGACGAATTTCGATGTATAATCCAACAGAGGGATACCTACCACTTTTAGAAGAATATTAATTTAGGAAAATGCCTTTGCAAAATTTCATACATACATATGTATGAATTTTCACCAAATAATAAGATTATTATATCAATTTTCCCAACATTTTGAAAAGCTAAATATTTACTGTCCTAAAATATACAAATTTATCATTTTGCTCATGTAATATATACATTTCATATAGTGGAAATATAGATTGAGAATCTGGTATTTTCTGGAGTTGCAACTGATTAGCTCAAACAGAGAGGGAGCCACTGTAACCATAATCTATTTCATCATTAATAAAGTCAATGATTGCCTTGAAATTTCTGTGTTGTACGCCTATGTTAATAGTTTTGGTCTCAAAAGCACACACATTTAATACAAATGATACAGGTGTTGTAACAGGTAAGGCAGGTAGCTAGAAAGGGTCGCGACAAAAGCCATTCAGGAAATACTTGAATGGAAGGATGTAGTTTTTGACTTGACCAAAACTAGAATACAACTTTTTTACGATTTTCTCTTTGAGTTTATAAACAGTTAGGTACAGGCGGTATGAATTTAATAAGTAAAGATGATAGGTTGAATAACATCTGGTCAATTTATGGTAAATTTAAGAAATCACTTAATTATAATAATAATAACACCAGTTTATTTCAACCAATACGGGGTGTACACAATGATATAAATGGGTTAAATCTACACTATAACAACATTATTGTGAAAGATATATCTTATGAGGTCATTTGCATAAACTACATAGAGAAATGGTCCCAGGATCGAGCCTTGCGGAACTCCTTGAGGTATGTGTAAGGTATCTGAGTTTAAGTTTCACAACTTGCTTTTGATTGCTTAGAAAAGACTCAATGCTTATTGATCTATAGTTATTCAGATCACTCTGGTCTCCTTTTTTGTATATTGGACACACCCTTGCGTATTTTAGTTTTTCTGGAAAATCCCCTTTTTTAAGGAAAGCTTCTTTCATTCACATCTGAATATGATCATCGAAGAATATTGGTGAATTTAATTCACTGACACAATCTAAAATAAATATACAATTCACACAGAATAAAGTTTTTATGCTAGTGCATCCTATTATATGTAGGTACATTGGGAGAGATAATTCATTTTCTTATGTTATTTCAATTTTGTTCACAAGGAATTTAAGATCAATATAGATATATAGACTTTATTAAAGCTCACAATTTACGCAATTGCGAAGCTAAAGTCAAAAATATGCAATTCAACAGTACAACAAAAAAGAAGAGTATAAAACATATAATAGTCATATCATATTGCTGATGTAGGAACTTTTTACAAAAGCATATATACTCCAAACTAAAAAAAATCTCCATTATTCAAAAGCGGGCTATAAGAGTCATAGCTAATGCAGGACATAGGGATCATTGGAGTATGGCTCAGTGTTATGGAATCCAGTTTACGACAACCAAAAAACATCAATTGAGAGCGTGCAGAGGAAGTTCCTGAAATAATTATGTCTAAAAGTTGTCAGACAATACCCCACGAGAGGCATCGATCATAACATTTTGTTGACACGATTTGATATGACATCTTTGGAAAATAGGAGAGTTATCCTTGGTATAAAATTCCTGTATAAATTACTAGACAACGATATTGACAGTACGGTTCTTTTACCAGAGATCAATTTCTTTTCCTGTAACTGGGTACTTCTGTTGGGAATAAATGGCTTTTTTTCTATCTATCTAATATACAGCGTGTTTCCTAACTACGGTACAAACATCTTCAGAGAGGGATTCGTTAGGTCGTTTTAATAAACAAAAGTTTTGATGTACATATGTCCGGATTTGCTTCGTTTCTGAGATACAGGTCGTTGAAGTTGAAAAAAAAACGGTATTTATAAAATATCATAAGTATCCTTGAACCGATTTGGTTGAAGTTTGCTACAGTTTGAAATAATAAGGTGCTTAGTCAGCCTTAACTAGATTGAATTTATTAGGTCCAGTGGAGTCTCAGCGGGACCACAGCCAACAATATTGGGGAAAAAAGTACGCCACTGACTTTTTATTGCATTTTTTCATTTTTTTAGATCAATAAACTGAAAATACAACTTTTTCGTTGCTAGTGTTTTCTTCATATCTAGCTTCATTTTCGAGAACGAAAATTGAAGCCACTTTGCATATTATGAACACCTGCTTTGGAGACCAGCTGACAGTGATAGTGTTGTCATATCAGTGAAAGTAAAAGTTGTCAATTAGCAGTTATTCCATCATGAATAATTTTACTAACCGTTTTTTTAAACTTCAACGCACTGTATCTCAGAAACGAAGCAACTAAGGACCTAACGAATCACCGATCCTATTCCACGACAACGCCCGTCTGCACGTTTCACAAATCACCGTCCGAAAATTAAACGAATTGAGCCTCGGAGTTCTGCCTCACCCACCATACTCTCTAGACCTCTCGCCAATCGACTACCATCTACTCAAGCACTTCAATATAATCACTGGTAGAACTTTCGCCAATCAGGACTAGGCAAAAACGTACTTCGTCGACTTCATCAAATCCCGAGCTCTCAATTCTTATGTTGACGGAATTGATCGACTCGTGTTACGCTAGCACTGATCCAAATGGTGTTCATTTCGATTGAATTGACTAAGTATTCGATGTAGAAATTCTGCGGAAATAAAACAAGGTATGACGTAGCAATATTAATAATTTCCCACAGAATATCAATATCATTGTACTTGTAGATTTACAAATACGAAAAACTGTTCCCACGGTATAATCTTTCGGATTTGAAATTCCATCTGCCATAGAATGTGGCATTATCTCCCGCAGTGTCTTCCATCTTCAGCGCCTGCTTTGTACGATTTCTCTATTTCTCCGGTGAACCACTTCTCGTGCGTAATTTTTTCGTTGTTACGAAAGAAGCCTCCTTTAAGAAGGTGAACGTGAAGACTTGCGTTTCCTCGTGGTGCTCGACTCATGCCATTGACCCGACAACTAGCATGACGTTGGTGTTTGGAAATTGTGATCGATCCATTGTAACCACTCTAGGGATAACTAACTAGGAGATTGAATTTCACAGACTGGTCGGTACCTTGAAGAAAACGAGGTAGTTAGAGCCGCTCACTAGCCATTTGTATCCCTCAAGCCGCTGTTATTTTACAAATTGTTATGTAGATTTGAATAATACACAGAGTGTTTAAATGAAACTAGGAAACAACTTACAGAAAAAATAATCAATTTCAATGACAGTTCTTTTGGAACTCAATTTTCAACACGTGTATCTTTCATATCATGAAGGAAACATTTCCACGCGATCTATCCATTTCCAAAAAGAGTTTTTATAAAGGGCTTACTCAGGGGGGGATAATTTGTAGCCCCCCTCCCCAGAGACTAGAAGAATTTAGTTGTGAAATAATGTAATTAAATAGGATTTTTCATACATGAACATGTCATGTCAATTAAAACCTACTATGAAATGCACACACTGTGGATTCTCATCAGTAACCTTCGATCCTTTCTGGGATTTGTCTCATCCTATACCACAAAGAACTGGCCAATTGTGTTTGTCACAATGCTTGGATTTCTTCACAAAAGGGGAAACCCTGGATGGAGATGAAAAACCAACATGTTCGAAGTGCAAGGAAAGAAGAAAATGCGCAAAGTCCCTATCGATCCATCAGTTTCCCCGTATTTTAGTGATTCATTTAAAAAGAGTATCTCCAACGGATAGTTCAGAGGCAAATGGAATGTTGCCATTGAGTTTTCTTTAGAAGGATTAGATATGAGCAATTATGCAGCAGACAATGTGGCTCCTTGTCGTTACAATCTACAATCGAGAAGTGTAACTGTTACACCTCTCACCTCTCGAAGCGAAGCAGTAACACGTCTTGATAATGCCATCTGAGATGATGGCGAAACGTCGACTATCGAATAGTACACAACGGACGTTGCTCTGACTCAAACATCAATAAACAGTCCTCAATAAAACCATCAACACTTACAATGTGGGTGATAATCAGTGGTTTTCTTTTCCAGAAGGCGACTTTAATACGGCAGATCAGACTTTTAAAAATGTTTGAACGAGAACTTGTGAGGTTTTCGTCTGGGCACATTTTTCCAACGGTATATCATTCGTTAAGCCAAGTTTGGTCCAGATAATGAGTCTTTCTATTCTCAGGTCGAAACTCAACAATCTGCCTAAGGTTATGTGTCCTCCAGTAAGTAATTTCATCATTTTAGATTAAGAACGATTTTTTGTTTCATTTTTCCCAGCTGAAACTTTATTCTTTCAAAGTTTTTCACAATAACTCTCTGGCTATCATTGGAGAGATTGGTATTCTTTCAAAGCTCCCGTTATTCCATTGAGGATCGTTCTTTCTTAAAATGAAATGAGTGTTCTTCTGATTGCAAGTTTGTAATTATCAACAGGCACAGTTCTTCTTCCTTAGAATGGGTTTGGTGATTTCACATTTCCACCAGATTATGAACGGTATACGACCGTCAACAAAAAAGCACATTGGCTCAATATTTTCACTGGAGAAAAGACTGAGGTAGCCATTTTAATTCCAACACTAAGTTCAACTTACTAAAAACAACACTGATTGAGACACAAGGGCTTTATCAATAATTCAAATTCCACAGGTAATTAAGTACCTAATTAAAACACATGACATCCTCTTGTCCAGAAAAAATTGAATGTTCAAAATAGGTACTACATTTTTATTTTATGACCGACTCAATAATGTACGCCTATGGACAGCAACTTGAAAATGATTTATCACTCCGCTGTTTAAGGA